CCCCATCCTCTATGAGAACCAGAGCTCAGCCAGGCAAGGACAGAGGCAGGGGAGGGCCTGCTGGAACCATGGTCCTGTGGGGGAGGAGGGCACAGGCAGGCCAGACCCCAGGGGCTGAGGCTCAGGGTCCCTAGTCACCCTGCCCAGCATGCTGGGGCACCCCCATTCCCCCTGTTTCCCCTGGGGCTCTCTAGGGCTCCCCAGTTTAGGCCTGAGGCAGGCAAGTGGTAAGAATAGGTGGTACAGGGTAGGGGGACCTCAGTTAAATAAGATTAAGGTGACACCTGGAAATGTAGGTGCCCAGCATCGGGGTGGACGCTGCAGCCGTGTGCCACTGCATGTTTACCTTGGGTGATGCCTTTTCTGGGGCTCCCCACAGATCTGGGGGCAGGAGTCCTGGACTCTGCCTCACACCCCAGCAAGGTGCTGAGAGGTGCCGTGACAGGAGCCCCCACTTGAGGGAGGGGATGGGTTGGGGTCCTGGGAGCCGCCTTGTTACTGGACTGGCCTCTTCCCTGCCAAGCTGTAGGTGGTTAGATACTAGGGAGTTCCCAGGGCCCCCCGCTCCTTCCCTCCTAAAGGCTGGCGGGGTGGAGGCTCCCCTACACCCAGCTACACACACCAAGGCTGGGGCAGGGGCGTCCAGGTGGGATCGTGGACTCTGGACTTGCGGTCGCCAGGCAGACCACCCTACAGAGCTCCACGAGGCCCCCCCCATTTCTGAGCACCCCAGGTTTTTCTGCTTGTCATGGGACCGGGCCCACCTGCACAGGGCACTGGTCCAAGCACTTCTCCTTGCCACTTGGGAAGAAAAGGAGCTGGGTGGGCGAGAAGAGCCTCTCGGAGCATATGTGGAGCGCCCAGGAGCCGGGATGCTGACCCTCTCCGGGTCTCCCACACTGGGCACCACCTAAGCCTGTCTGCGCCCCCTCTTGCATGGGGCCCACCTCAAATCCCCCACGTATGAACCCAGTGGCAGCCTTTGGGTCGGGCCTGCAGGGGTCTTGGGAAGTGGGCAGGCATGAGGCATATGACCCGCATGGGTGACTTGTCTCCTGGAGCACTAAGGTGGTGGCCATGCTCTGGGCATGGTGCCTGGCCTGGAAGGCTCTGAAGAGCCCCAAGTCTGTGGAGGGGCCTCCCCATGAGTGGTGCCTGGGGCTGTGTGGCCTGTGAGCTGGGCACACACAGCAAGTGGCAGAGGGGCCAGGGGCCGGGCATCGGTGGGTCATAATCCTCCATTCCTGGTTAGCGTCAACCCAGAGCCTGGCCTCTGTGCCTCCCAACAAGCACGTGTCCCAGAGGCGATCAGGAACCCAGTAGTGGCCTAGCTGGGGGTCACAGCCAGGGAGGAAAAAGCACCACTCCTTCCAAACGGGCTGTTTCCAGACCCTCCCCAGGCTAGGAGTGCCCGACTCTCCCTTGGCCCCATCCCTCTGGCAGCAGGAACCTGTGGACCCTCGGAGACTGGAGGCAGGTGGCAGCCCTGAGGGAAGGCGGGCTCCAGGCCTGGGGCAGGGGTCTGGCTATGACTCAGGGCCTCCTTGGGCCCTGCCTCCATTCCCTTGAGGCCAGCCCCCGAGGGTCTGCAGTTCTGGGCTGGCTCTTAGAGTAGTCTGTCCCGGCTGAGGGCAGTGGGGGCCTCCTAGGCCAAGAGGCCCAGAAGCTCTCCCAGTCCGCTGGGTTTAAGCAATCCTGATGAGTCCTTGTCTTCCCGGCACATGCTGGTCTGTGTCCTCCTCCCAGAGGACTGAGCCAGCCCATGCAAACAGTTCCGAACCAGCCTTGCTGCCTGCTCTCAGCTTCTCAATTTCATGGACAGGGTTGGAAGTTCTTACCGGCCGGCTCCCTGGAAGGGCATCCCAGCAGCCCTGAGAAAGGGACTGTGGTCTCTGATATCCCAAACCACAGCGCTGGCATTCCTCCAGACCTCATCCCGCTGAGACAACATTCCCAGTTCTAGAGGGAGCCACAAGGCCTCACCCGCAGGCCCTGCCCTAGCAGGAGCCCAGCCTCCAGCCCTCCTTCCTGTGCAGCCCTGCACAGCCCCCGCTTCCTCTTGGGAGCTTCTCCTGAGGGTGCAGCACCCACTTGCACCCTGGGCTCTGGGACAAGAGGATCTGCAGAGTCATCTGTTAGCGATTGTGGCTGCCTGTGACGCAGCTGAGAGTGGGCGAGGGGGCACCCCATGTCCTCAGCACAGCTGTGTCCCCAGGAGGCTCCCAAGGTCAGGAGTTCAAGACTCACGGCTGAGTCAGATGTGCCTGTGGCCTGGCCCTCAGGGTCCCCCACAGCTGCCTGCAGGTGTGGCTGAGTAGGATGGAGGTTCTTACCGGCTGACTCCCTCAAAGGGCATCCCAGCAGCCCTGAGAAAGGGACTCTCAGGAATGCCACTGCAGTAGCACTGGGGGCTCCTCGGCCTTGTCCCGGGGCTGGGGAGGATCTGAGACCCCTTCGCCAGGGCCAGGAGTGCCCCTACATCTCTCGGGCTGCCACTGACCCCTGCCCCCGACCCACCTTCTCTGGGGCTCCGTCACCCTGGAGCTGGGTGGGCAGGGGCTCTAGATCTTGGATTGTCCCTGGAGGGCAGCCAGAGCCTGGTGGGACAGAGGCTCCTCCACGGCCCTCCCCTGGGAGCCGCCTCCTTTTACCCTCCCCTCCACTCCCAGACTGGGCAGCTCCCTCCTGTGGATTCAGGATAGAACGTGTTTGGGGGTGGGGTGCTGCTGTTGCAGGGAGGAGCACTACGTCAGGGACAGGTGCCCGAAAGATGCCCAGTAAATAGGAGTAAGAAGTAAATGACAGACAAGCTTCCTCTCGCCTTACTAACTTGTGTGCTCTTGATTGACCCCGGCCTTTTTGGCCTCAGTTTCCCCATTTGTAAATAGAATAGGTGCCTGGGCTGCGCAGGACTCAGAAAGACAGGAGAGATGCTCGCTGGTCTGTTTGATGACTCACTGGAAGCATGACAAAGACAGTAGGGGGTGGGGGTGGGCAGAGATGAGCTGCCCCTCCCCAACCCCCTGTGTGTAGCCCGGCTGGGACAGCCCCTCAGGCCTCCATACGCTCAGCTCCTGCCCCAGCTGCCCCCTCCCCAGTCCGTGCAGCAGCAGGCACAGGGTGGGGGCAGTGTGGGCTCTTCACCCAGCCCCTTGGCCACATTCTCTTGTCCACTGCACTCCCCGCCTGCCTGCCAGTTGCTCCTGGGGCAGCTGTCTGCCGGGAAGCAGTGAGCCCGGTGATTAACCCTGCTGGTGCTGGCGGCTCCGACTGACACAGCGCATTCTCAGGGCCGTCCCCGCTCCCCTCCTGGCCAGTGCCCAGGGACAGCAGAGGCCTGGTGGCTTGGCCTGGTCTGGCCGCTAGGGGGCTTAAAGGGCTCCCCCCCACCCCCACCACTCACAATCCCACCCCTCCAACCACACGACCCTCCAGGGATCCCAAGAAGCACTCAGGGTCTCAGGAGTCTCCAGTCCCTCAGGCTGTCAGAGCCCCAAGCTGTCAAGGGGGAGCCCAGAGCCACAGCACACTGCCTGGGGCCAAGACCCCATGTGGGGACTCGCTCTCTGCCTCACACGGGATCTAAAGCAGTTCAGAGCTGGACTCTGCACCTGGACTGCCGATTCCTCGATGTCTCCCGCCCCCTCTCCGGCCAGCCCCTCCCCCACTCAGAGCTTCTCCTGCCAAGGGGAGCCGTCTCCTTTCTCCCTCCCCCAGGTGGGAGAACTAACAGTGAAGCTAGGGAAGAATTGCCAGGCCGGAAAGTAGGAGAAGGGAGAGGGTCACGTCGCTCTCCCGACTCTGTAGAGAAAGAGCCACACACCCTCTTGGGACTTGAGATTTGTAGGAGGCCAGGGCACCAGGAAGGTGTGCAAGGAGGTGTACCCTCCAGGGACAGCTGCTAGCTCAGAACCCCCACCAGAACCGCTGACCAGGGCCCAACAAACGCACCCAGCCCCCCAGGACTGTCCAGGGAACCCAGTGAGAGATGAGCCCACAGCCCATCTGGGACCATGGGCCGCCCAGCTGGCCTGGCTCAGAGACGGGGGTTGCTGCCAGCTCGGCAGCTGCAGCCCCACCCCGCCACCACCTCCTCAGGGCTTCCCTGGAGGCAGATTTGGCCCTGGAGCCCAAGGGAAGGAGGAGACCCAGGGCCGCAGGCACCCAAAGGCAGACGAAGACCTGATCTCGGCCTCTAGGTCCTGCGCCCTTTGCCAGGCGTCCTGGAGCCGCCGACCGTGGCAGGAAGGTGTGTGCGGCTGTGCAGTGGGTTGGAGGCCAGGCCGACAGACCTGGTGGAGTCCACGGGGCCCCGGAGCACAGGTGCTCAGCAGCTGTGACCAGAGTCCCCCCACCTTCTTAGGAGCCCATCTGGAGGCTGTGGGGCCATGAGCACCGCCCGCGTCCTCTAAAGGGGGCTATGGCTGCAGGCCAGCCCCTCCCGCCCCATTTCCCTATCGGAGAGTATTTTTAAGCCCTGCTGAGGCAGGCAGGAGCCAGGCCGAGTTGAACCTGACCTGATCACCCCAGGAAGCAGGGGGCCCCTACCTAGGCTCCCCCTGTTCCTCTGCAGATGGTCACTGGCGGCTGCAGAGGGCACCTTCCCGCAACCAGCAGGACAGACGCTGTCGGGGGAGGAGCGGGGAGGCCGAGAGGTGCACCAAATTAGGGGAACAAAGAGTGGGCCCCTGGGCTGGGAGGAGCTGGTGGGCGCGCTGGGGGCCAGAGCGCCGTGGGGAGCGCGAGGGTCGCACCCGGGACCCGGAGCTACGATCTGGGCTGGGGGCGCGGCGGCGCGGTGGTCCCACGGCCTGGCCCGAGGCCAGCAGGTGCCCCTTCCGGGAGGTGGCCGGGCCGGGGTCCGAAGGGTTAAGGCCGCCCGGCGGCCCCTCCCCCTCCTCTCTCCTTCCCCCACCCCCCCGCCTCCCCGGACCTCTCCCCGGGGCGCGGGGCTCGGGCGTTCGGGCGGGCCGGGGCGGGGCCTGACGTCTGCAGGCGGAGCGAGCCCTGCCGGCTGCTTGGCTTCAGACCCGCCGGGCTCCCGCCGCGCGCGCTGTCCCTGGAGCGCGGGGACGCGGCCCGGAGCCGGGAAGATGGCGAAGCGGCTCTGCGCGGGGAGCGCACTGTGTGTCCGCGGCCCCCGGGGCCCCGCGCCGCTACTGCTGGTCGGGCTGGCGCTACTGGGCACGGCGCGGGCGCGGGAGGAGGCGGGCGGTGGCTTCAGCCTGCACCCGCCCTACTTCAACCTGGCCGAGGGCGCCCGCATCGCCGCCTCCGCAACCTGCGGGGAGGAGGCCCCGGCGCGCGGCTCCCCGCGCCCCACCGAGGACCTTTACTGCAAGCTGGTGGGGGGCCCCGTGGCCGGCGGCGACCCCAACCAGACCATCCAGGTGAGCGCAGGGCGGGCCGTGGGGCGTCCTCCCGGGGCACTCGGACCCGGAACGCCGGCCCGACCCCAGGGGGAGCGTCGTGGGCCAGGGCGAGTCCAGGTGCGGACTCTCTGGTTCCGCATTTTGGGGGCCCAAGAAGGCACCCCGACCCGGCTGCTCCGTCTCGGCCGGGAAACTTCGCGTCCCTCCGGGAAGGCGGAATTCAAGTCCCCAGCATGGACCCGGGGGCGGCCGGGAGCCGGTCCAGTTCGGCTGCGGTGACCGGGGCGGGAGGGGGGCCGGGCCCGGTCCCTGGCGGCCCCAAGTCCAGGATCCCGGGGAGGGCGGGACTTGGCCTCCGCCGGCTGCTGCCGGTGGGGAGGGGGCGCAGCTCCGCCCTACCCGGGACAGGCTGGAACCTGCTGGCCTCTGGATGGGGTGGGAGGGGCCAGCCACCTGAGGCTCCCACGGCCCCCTCTCAGAGGAGTCTAGGGCTCGGCGAGACCTCCAAAGTAGGGGAGGGCCAGCTGCGAAGTTTTAACTGAGGCTGGGAACACGTGGCTTCCAGGAGGGGCAGAATCTCTGCCCAGCAGGTGGTAGGGTCCGGGGGGCTTCGTTCTCTCTGGGAGATGTGGTTTCAGGCCCTGAAGACCCCCTGGGGTGCATGTCTTCTCCCCAGCAAGCCTTAAACCTGTAGGCAGGTTCTGTTGGCGGGCTCCATGCATGGACACCTAACCTGGAAACCAAGGCTCCTGGCCCTCTAGACTTAGGCTGGGCCTGGGGTCAGCCCTGAGTGAGGAGCAGCAAAGTCAGCTCCAAGGGCTCCCAACCGGCCGCTCTAGGCCCATTCCTCACCTCAGCCCCACCTTAGGGAGAGTCTAGGTGGTGCCCAGATTCCCGCAACTAACCCCCGCTGGACCCTGTTCTGGCTGGGGGGCTCCAAGCAGGTGTCAGCGGCTTTCCAGGGCTCAGTTCCCCCATCTGAAGTGTGGGCTTGAGACCTCCTATCTCAGAGGACTGTGCTGGGCTTAAGAAGAGAATGGTGAGCCCAGGAGTCCGGGGAGGCTCCTCCCCCCTCCCCCAGGGCCAAGGTGGTGGGACAGGCAGAGGGGGCGGGCCCAGCCCAGGTTCCTCCATTCATCCCCACAAAGTCTTGCTCCAGGGCCCTCTGCCCCCACCCGGCAGATCTCCAGCTACTCGCCCCAGCCCCAGTCTGTCCTTCCAGGAAGGCGGAGGTACCCGGGAGGAGACAGCTCAGGTTACACGGGCCCTCTGCCTGTCCCCTCTGGCTGGGGCTCCAAGCAGGTCAGTGGCTTCCAGGCCTGCCTCCATCTGAAGTGTGTGGGCTGAGACCTCCTATCTCAGAGAGGACTGTGCTGGGCTTACAAGAATGGTGAGCCCAGGAGTCCGGGAGGCTCCCTCCCCCTCCCCCAGGGCTTAAGGTGGTGGGGCAGGCAGCAGAGGGGACTGGCAGAGGGCCCGTGTGAACCTGAGCTGTCTCCTCCTGGGTACCTCCGCCTTCCTGGGAAGGACAGACTGGGGCTGGGGCGAGTAGCTGGAGATCTCGGCCGGGTGGGGCAGAGGGCCCTGGAGCAAGACTTCAGGGGGATGAATGGAGGAACCTGGGCTGGGCCCGCCCCTCTGCCTGTCCCACCACCTTGGCCCTGGGGAGGGGGGAGTGAGCCTCCCTGGACTCCCAGCCACCATTCTCTTCTTCTTCTTTTTTTTTTTTTTTTTTTTTTGAGACGGAGTCTTTGCTCTGTTGCCCAGGCTGGAGTGCAGTGGCACGAACTCGGCTCACTACAAGCTCCGCCTCCTGGGTTTACGCCATTCTCCTGCCTCAGCCTCCCGAGTAGCTGGGACTACTGGCGCCTGCCACCTCGCCCGGCTAGTTTTTTGTACTTTTAGTAGAGACGGGGTTTCACCATGTTAGCCAGGATGGTCTCGATCTCCTGACCTTGTGATCCGCCCGTCTCAGCCTCCCAAAGTGCTGGGATTACAGGCGTGAGCCACCGCGCCCAGCCACCATTCTCTTCTTAAGCCCAGCACAGTCCTCTGAGATAGGAGGTCTCAAGCCCACACTTCAGATGGGGGAACTGAGCCCTGGAAAGCCGCTGACACCTGCTTGGAGCCCCCCAGCCAGAACAGGGTCCAGCGGGGGTTAGCTGTGGGAATCTGGGCACCTCCTGGCTGCCCCCTTATCTGGTCGACTCAGAGGGGCCGGGTCTCAGGAGGGAGGGCTGTGGCTGTCTCCTTGCCTGCTACTGCACCTCGGAGGGCCTGGCTGAGTGTCCCCAGCTGAGATTTTGCCGTTCTGGCAGGGGAGGCTCCAGGTGCCCTCTGAACCTCAGACCACCCCCAGCCACCTGCCTGTGCTGCATGGCTGGGGGCCACAGGCCCCCTCCCGGATCTGTCTCCTCTGTGGGGGCGTATTACCCCCGTCTCGTGAGTAAAGGGCCAGCCTGTAGTCAACGCCCCTCTCCTCTGCCTCAGCTGTGTGGCTTCCCTCTGTTAGCCTCAAGCTCCCTGTCTTTTAAATGGGCACAGCGTGCCCGCCCCCTCACCTGAGACTGTGAGCTTGGCCTGAGGAGCCTGGGAAGTGGCCACAGTTTCAGTGGCAGCTATGGGCTATGGTGCTCCACACCTCAGAGCCAACGTGGATGAGAAACCAGCTGGCCTCGTCCAGCTCATTTCTGACAATAGAGGCGAACCCTTCTCTTCCAAAGTCTCGAGCCCTGAGCGGTGAGTGCCCCTGTTCCGAGGCTGCCAGATACGTAGAAAGATTGGTTGGTAGACGTAAGCTGGATGGCCTGTGACCTTGGACGCCTTCTTCATCTGAGAGCCACAGGTCTGCTGACTGCCCTGGCCGCAGATTGGGCATGTGAGAAGGCCTTGCCAGCCAGTCTGGAGTAGAGCCGCGGGTGGGGCAAGGCAGGCAGGCACAGGAGGTGCCCAGGCGATGAAGCTGCAGCTCCATCCAAGGGGGCTTACTAAGGCTTTGGGGCCTGGAGCTGGGCAGTGCGGTGTCAAGGCTGCAGGCCAGGGGCTCTCAGGGACCCTCTGCAGGAGACGCACATTAGCTGGGCATCCCAGATGGGGTTTGGGGTGAACTCTGCTGGGCAGCTGGTGCAGGCAGAGTGCAGGGGGAGGTGGTAGCCCTTGCAGCCTCAGGTGGGCATCAGGGGATTCCCGGCTAGCCCAGCCTGAGAAGGTGGGGACTGGGCGGCCAGGCCAGCGTGGTGACTTATTGGAGGGGGAAGTCCTTATCAGCTGCTCTGCTGTTTCCTAGCTCTGTTCTCATGGGACCCTCTGCAGCGGAGGTGGTGGGAGCCTGATTTTCCCAGCCCTGTCCTCTGGCTCAGTGAGTGGCCGAATGGGGACTGGAACTGCCTCCCAATAACTGGACCAACTGTGGCCCAGGCAGGGACTGAGCAGTTTCTTCCCTGACCTCCTAGAAGAGTAGAGACCTGACCTTTGACCCGCAGCTTCCACTCAGCTTCCCTCTGCTGCTCGTGTGTCTGGGAGGGTCTTGACCAGCAAGCAACCTTCCCTGGAAGGCCTGGCTGCCCCAGCCAGAGAGCCCTGCCCACACCTACCTTCTCCAGGCGCCCCCGGCCCCACCCTGAGCGGGACCTGTGTGTGCCGTGCTGTCAGTGAACTCTTGAGTTTGGGGGTCACCATCTAAGCTTGGCAGTGTGGCCTGCGGGTAGGGCTCGTGGTGCTTAACTGGGTGTCTTCAGTTGCTCTGGCCCCATCCACGAGACTGCTTAGGTGGTGAGCTGGGTACACAGTGGGAATAAGGCGGGTGTGGACCCTGCCACTGCAGAGCTCTGGGGGACCCCAGCGAAGTCCCCAGATGATTCCAGATCTCATACATACAGTAAAGGAAGTACAGCAGTGGCCACACTGGGGACTGCAGACTCAGGGGCCTCAACCCCAAGCCTGGGAGGATGCCTTTGTGTGAACAAACAGCAGGTCTGGTTTCCCTGGGGGGGGTATGGCAGCCAGGACCCGGCTCTGCCCCCTCTCCTGGTCCCTGCCCCGGCTCCCAGCACTGCCCCTCCCCTCCAGGATGTAGGCCAGGACCCTGCTGGGAGCCTCCTCCGTTCCCCACTCACCCATGCAGGGCAGGCCCGGGACAGAAGCGGCTGCCACGCTGTGTGTGAGCCATTAATCCTCACGGTGGCCCCAGGCAGGTGCAGCCTTGTCCCTACTCTTCAGATGGGGACATTGAGGTTCAGCGGTTGCTGTGACTTGGCCTCTTCCCAGGACTCCAAAGCGGCAGCCAGGAGGCCCAGGCCCACCTACCGCTGCCCACACCTCCACTCTGGGGCCAGTCCCCATAGGCCACCGCAACAGCTTAATTCTGTCTCTCTGGAGACCCTAATCCAGAAGCCTGTGGGCAGGATCTGGAGGTGGGGCGGGGTCTGGCCGCCTGGATCCCCACCCTGATGGTCCTTCTGTCTACAGCTCTACCTTCCTCCCCTTTCTGCCCCCTGCCTTGCTGCATTTTGTCCAAGCCTTTCTGGAGCCCCTGGCAGGGCCAGCAGGGAGGGGTGGCCATGCCTTGCCCTGCTCCTGCCCCTTTTTGCCCCCTTGGCTCTAGACACATTGATCCACCTTGCGGTTTACTGTGAGACGTCTCCTGCCCCCAGGGCTCATTGCACTGGCACCCCCTCTGCCTACAGCACACTCTCCCTTACCATGTAGGGCTCAGACGCCACCCCCCTAGAGAGGCCCACCGAGATTTTCCCACCCAAGGCAGATGCCCGTCTCCGTCCCTGTTCTTCCTCTTTCCTCCTTCGTGCCATGAGCAGCTCACATGAGCCACCTGCCCTGAGTTGGAGAAGCTGCAGGTGCTTAGCGCACGTTTGCTGAGCAAGTGGGTGAGGGGGGTGCAGAGGCTGGGCGTGGAACCCGCTCAGTGGGGCCAGGACTCCTCTCGGGGCAGGAGGGTGACTGGAGGAGGAAGGGGGTCCCCGGCCCTCCTCGGCTGTCTGACCCTCCCGTTCCCTCTGCAGGGCCAGTACTGTGACATCTGTACGGCTGCGAACAGCAACAGGGCACACCCCGCGAGCAACGCCATCGATGGCACAGAGCGCTGGTGGCAGAGCCCACCCCTGTCCCGCGGCCTGGAGTACAACGAGGTCAACGTCACCCTGGACCTGGGCCAGGTAGGGGCCTTCTTTGCCTGCTACGGCGCCCGTCTCTGTGTCTGTGGCTGTCGGGCCTACCTTGGGCCACTGGACCAGAAGGCGAGGTCTCCACCCTGAGCGAGATCTGGGGCCTGGGAGGCTGGACTCAGTGGGAGGGGACAAAGGCATGACAGTGGTCACCTTTTGTTTGTGCTTTCAGCATCCCCACGACACAGGGAAAGGGGGTGCTGATGGGGGTGCTTCCAGAGGCCAGAGTTTGGGTGGGGGTGCTGAGTAGACAGCTTGGGGCCAGGAGGGCAGAGCTGCTGTGAGCAGTGCGGTGGTGCCCCCTGCGTCAGGCGCGCTGCTGCTTAAGGAATTCCTGGCGGGTGCGGGAGGGGCCGCAGGAATGCAGAGGAGGCTGGCGGAAGTGGACATTCCTGGGATACCTGTGCCGAGGTGGCAGCTGCTGAGGGTTAGGTGGGGTTGGGTGTCTGCTCTCTGGTCCCCAGCTCTGGGCTCTCCTTGGCCTTGGAGGCCCCTGTACAAGCAGGAGGCTGAAGCTGGGTGCCTCCAAGCGAAGAGTGAACCCCCTAAGGTGGGCCTGCCTCGGTGCCAGCCCTGAGCAGCCCCAGATAAGGGGTGACTTGGCCTAGGTACCCGGGCTTGAGGTCTTGGCCTGTAAAACGGGCCAGTAATCTTGGTGCTTCTTGAGTCAGGGACAGTGATGGGGCAGGTGGAGGAGGCTGGGCCTGAGAGCAGCCAGTGCCTGGAGTGGGGGCTCCAGGGCTGACCCAGAGGTCTGCGTCCCGGCTGGCTTGGTCGCTGTCCCAGTGTGTGACACGTGGGTCTTCACTCCTGTCTGAGTCTCTGTCCCTGCCATTGTCCCGAGGGTGTCGGAGATAGAGGAGGTCTCCCTGGAGCCCAGCTGGAGGGCTGGCCCCAAGGGGCAGGCGCCTTTGACAACCTTGGTGGCCTGCAGGCCTGGCCCGAGGGTGGGCAGGCAGTGAGGGGAGGGCTCAAGCCCCAACAGGTGGCCTGGAATTTCCAGGGGTTCCTGAACTTGCTCTAGGGCCCTATGGAGAAGGGTGGGGAGCTGGGGAGGGGTTGCCTGTCCTGGGCTCCCTGCCTGCCTGCCAGGCCCCTGGGCCTGACCTGACCTGGGTCTGGGTGTGGCTTTGCCTGTTTACCTTCATCTCACTGGGTTTCACCGCATCTGGTTCCCCTGTCCCCTGGAGCCTGGGGGTCCCTCATCTCTCTGGCACAGCAGCAGAGGCCCCCCCTTGGCTGCAGCGGATGTGGATTCTCAGCTGCTCTGGTGGGAAGCTGGGAACTGGGTACTGGGTTCTTCCCGCCCCTCCTCCTCCGAGGAACTGGCGTGGCTGGGGGAGGGGAGATGGTCTGGTCTCCACGGCAACCCCAAGGTGGCTGCAGAGCCAGTGGGCACAGTGCCTGATATGCCTGGGTGGGGTCAGGGAAGATGGGAGTGACACTCAGACCCACAAGTGTGGGCTTCACCACCCCTTGGCTCTGGGGCTCTCTCTCAGCCTCGGTGCACATCTATGAACTGGGCTGGAGACTTCAGGCCTGAAGCCAGTTTGCTTTTAGATTGTTCTGGGCCAGAAATCAGGTTCCACCATGTGAGCATCTTGCCTCCCAGCCTCAGTTTCACCAACTGTAAAATGATATGGAGGGAAAAGGAACCCTTTCCATTCCACCTGGGAAGCAGTCCCTCCACCTACCCACCCACCTATCCTATCCCATCCCTCTGCTCACCCATCCACCCCCCTACCTATCCACCCACCTGTCCCTCTACCCACCCCTACCTACCCACCCACCTACCTATCTACCCACCCACCCCTTACCTACCACCTACCCCTCTACCCACCCCCTACCTACCCACCCCCCTACCTATCTACCCACCCACCCCTTACCTATCCACCTACCCCTCCACCCACCCCCTGCCCCTCCACCCACCCACCTATCCACCCACTCACCCACTTACCCCTCCACCCACCCACCCCCCTACCTATTAACCCAGCCACCCCCTATCCACCCAGCCACCCCCTACCCATCCACCCACCCACCCCCCTACCCATCCACGCCACCAACCCACCTAACCATCCAACCACCCACCCACCCACCTACCCCCTACCCCCTACCCATCCACCCACTCCCTACCCATCTACCCATCCACCCATCCCCTACCCATCCACCCACTCCCTACCCATCTACCCATCCACCCACCCCCTACCCATCCACCCACCCCTCTACCTATCCAGCACCCACCCTTTCTTCCTTGCTTCCATCTGTCCATCCCTCTGTCTGCTCTTTCCTCCCTCCACACCTGCACCGTCTTCCTTCCTTCCTTCTCAGCCGCTTTCCTGACCATGTGGATGTGTCTACCAAGGCCCCTGTCTGGGCCAGGGGGCTGCCAGCCTTGGTCGGGGTGGGGACAGGGACTCCCTGGAGTTGGGTGGAGAAATGTCCTTCCTGGGCTTCAGGGCTGATCCTGGGGCGGGGCTGGGGCTTCCATCAGGAAGCCAGGCTGAGCAGCGGGTGGGTCCGGGCACTCCCCCTGCAGCGGGCTGCCAGCAGCCTTTGTTCTGGGATCTGGAGCGGATGCCCTGGGAGGGGGGTGGGGGTGGCTGGCACTGGGCATCGGGAAGGCTTCCTGCTCCTGGAAGGCTGAGGAGGGCGGGGTGGGCTACGTCACGGTTCGGGTCTCACGCCCATGCTGTGTGGTGGGGCAGGGGCTGGTGCAGGGGAGGGGAGACTAGTCCCTGTGGTGTCCACCCAGGAGTGGCTGAGCCTTGGCCCCAGGAGTGCCAGCTGGGCTCCTGGCCTGGGTCCTGCTGCGCCCAGCCGTGGAGGGTTCTCCCTCCAAGGGTGGGGCTCAGGAAGAGGCTCCACCACTGGTCACTGGTGACTCAGGGGGCAGTTTCCGAGTTCCAGACGTGACCTTCCCCGGGGGGTCCTTCTAGGGGGTTCTTGCGTATCTCCTTGCGTCCTCCGGAAGCTTCTAGAACTGAGTGGTCACATCACTGACCTCAGGCTCCCTCTTCTGAGAGCCACACCCAGGCCCCAGGCCCAGGGAAGGGTGAGCATGTTCATGACTGCCCAGGCACATGGCCAGCAGGTCCTGGCTCGAGCGCCCCCACCCCCTGACTCTGCTGCAGGGTCCAGGCCCTTGGCCCACTACACCAGCATGCTAGCCCAGCAGGCCCAGGTCGTAAGGAGCTGGGCGGAGTGAGTGGGGCTGGCTCTGGCCTGTGTCCCCTCCCTCTCCATTCGGCCCTTGGGTGGTCTAACCGTGGGGGCGGGGCTCTCCCCAGCAGAGGAGGGCATGCCTCCTGTCTCCCTCAGATGAGGAGTGAGGACGCGTGGGGGGGCCTCCTTCCTGCAGGGAGACCCCTGCTTTGTCCTCTGCACAGCAGGCCACAGTGCAGGTGCCACAGGTGGGGCAGCGGCTTTGTCCCAGCCCCCGAGGCCCAGAGCTGCAGGGCAAATAGGTAGGGACCAGGTAGGGGTCAAGCTGTAGGGGAACTGGGGCCAGCAGGGTATGGGGGGACAGTTGGGCATGAGTCTAGTATTGGTTGGGGGTGAGCAGTGCCAGGTGAGGGCCTGTGCCCCATGGGAGTGCAGAGTGGACTGGGGTAGGGCTGGAGAGGGGAGGCAGTCAGCTGTCCCCTCCAAGTGGGGGTACGAGGAGGCAAAGCTCTGCTGCAGTCATTGGCCACTGGAGTGTGAGTTTCCCTAGGCACTTGGGGAAACTGAGGTGGGGTTATGAGAGGGTCAGGGCCAGTGTGGAGTGCCCAAGGTCCCAGTGCTGGAGTCTTGAGGACTGTGGGGTTGGCCATGCTGTCTGGAGTCTGGGTTCCCAGGCTGGTTCCTCCTCTGTAAATGGGGCGAGTACGCCTGCCGGAGGCCCAGCACGCCCAGACTGCCTTACCCTTCAGGACTGCCTGCCCTCTGGCTGGCTGGCTGGGGCCCTGGGCAGGCCTTCTGGTCCAGGGTGCCACTGGCTTGGCTCCCTGGGCCTGGTTGGGCACTCAGCCATGTGGCCAGTGCCCCAGGACGGTCAGTGGGTTGTCCAGGGAAGGACAGGAAGTGCAGCGCGGCCAGGCTCTAGGCTCTAGTTACACAGCTCGGCAGCCGGGACAGGTGCACTGGCTGGGCCGGACGCAGCCACTTGAGTGGGGCTCCCTGGGGGTATGGCAGGAGTCCTGGGAGGTGCTACTCCCCTCCCCTGGCACAGGGTAGACAGCAAGACCCTCCCTCGACTTGTTCTGGAAGGAGGACGCGGCCCAAGGGGCTGCCATGCCAAGGTGGGGCTGGGGCTGCTCCTCTCCCCACACCCCCGCTGCCATGCTTGCCCTTGGTGGCTGCACGGCCAGGCCTGGCATTCCGGGCACAGAGATGCCCCAGCGCCCACCTAGAGCCCAGGCGGCCCCCAAAGGCTTCCTGTTTTCCATTTCTAAACAAGAGCCACTACATTAGCCTCTGATAATACAGCTCAGTGGAGACTAAACTGTTTGGGTTTCAGGCCGAGGGGTCCCCTTGGGATAATCTCCACTTCCTGTGTCCCTGGCTGACCATCTGGCCTGACCTGGACCGGGCTGCAGGGAGGGAGCCCTGAGCTTGGACTGCAGTGGTTGGGGTCCCTGAATCCACCCCATGCCCAGCTCTGTTGAGGTGCAGGCAGCCCCCTGGCTGGGACCCCATGCCCTCCCTCCAGCTGGGAAGTTCCTGTCCCCCCACCCACTCCTGGAAGTTTCCCTGTCCTGCTTTAGTACATCTGTAGTTGGGCATGGCGACATCCAACCCTGGTGTCCGGGGTTCTGGCCTCGGCGTTTTTATTTTTCTTCCCAGTGGTCGGCTTGCCGTGGAAACCCCCGGCTTTTCCACTCCACGTCCCTCTGGGAGAGGTGTCTGCGTGGGGCGTGTTTCCGGACCCCTGATAGGTTGTGTGGCCGCTGTGCTTATTCACCCAGCTGGGGGTCGGTGGAGCCGCCCCGCCCTGCTGTGGGGCTTATCTATGTATCCAGATGGGGTCTCTTCAAGGGGAGGCACACGACAGGAGCGGGCAAGGGCTGGACTGGCCCTGGACTCTGGGCAGCGAGGGGGCTGGGTGCCCCGGTGCCCTGTCCGAGTGGCGTGGTCAGGGTGCTCGCCCGGATGCCTGGGGCTAGGAGGGACTTTTCCTGCCCCGGGAATTGGCACAACGCCCTTCTTCCTGCAGGGCCTGGGCTGAGTCACAGACCTCTGTGATTCAGGCTGCCGGGGAAGGCTGGACTGGCCCTCACCCGGCACAGTGGGTACCTGGGCCTGGCCCTGGTCTCCCCAACCCAAGATGGGCCAGGGCAGAGCTGGATTTGGGCACAGGGTAGCACCCCCTCCCCCCCTCTGGAAGTTCCAGCCACAGCCCTCCCCATGGTGAGGTGGGTGCCTCAGCCCAGGAGGCTGCTGGCCAACAGCCCCACGCCATCCCCAGGGCCCCCAAAAGCCCCACCAGCATTTCTCTGTAGTCCTCACCGTGCTGCCCAGACCCCAGCACCTACCCAGTCCCCTCCGCAGCTTTGCCTTCGGAGTGCCAGTGTGTGGTGCAGCTCTGGTGGGGGCCTCTCGGCATTTCTGCGGAGTGGCTGCTGCCTGCCCTCCAGGAACAGCTGGCATCCTCCCTCCCAGGGCGCTCGAGCCTTCATGCCCTCATGAAAGGCATTTTATCCTGATGCCCCTCTCTGCAGCTCTTCCCACTGCCCTGTGCCCAGGGAGGGGAAGTGTCCGCTTCAGGTCCACACGACCCCTGAACCTGGAGCCTGCCTGGGCCCCGGGCCCTGTGCTCCTGGGGCTCTCGTCGACCCCCTGTGAGACTGGTCACTGGGCAGAGGCCTCCTCTGGGAGCCATGACCCTCCCAGGTCAGGTCGGGTATGGGGGGACTGGGGGGTGCAGTGGCTGAGAGGCGGGTCCGGCTGCTGTCCTGGAGACGTGCCTGCCCCAAAATAGCCAGATTTTTAAAAATAACTCAGGCGGCTTTTGTTTGGCTTTTGCTTTAAAAGAACTTTTTTTTTTCCTTTTGCACAGAACTATGTAGCAGCGGAAAGGTCAGCACTGGCAGCTGAGCTGAGCTGAGCTGAGTGGGGCGTGGAGGGGGAAGGGCGGTCCTGCAGCCCGGGGTCTGCGCTCGCTCCGGGTCATGGCGAGGGCGGCCAGTGTGGCCCTGGGAGCTGCGACCAGGTCAGAGACAGATGGGAGCCCTCCAGTGCGGGCTTCCCTTCCTGTGAGCATCTGTGCAGTCACCAGGCCCTCGAGGACAGCTGTCCAGGGCCCCCGTCTGACAGACAGATGGTTGGAATGAGGGACAGACAGGAGGCCAGGATCTTCCCGTGCGTCCCAGGGGTGGAGAGGGCGAAATTTCTGTGTCCCCCTCATCGTGCCGATCAGTGTCTTCGAGTCAATATTTGTGCAAGTGCTCTCAGCTGGGAAAAATGCGACTGGCCTGCTGAAGGGGAGGGGGAAGGACGGATGGGCCTGAGGAGAGCGCAGCCTCCAGGCGCTCAGGGAACAGCGGGGGCGGCTCCCGGGGGCTCAGTGAGGACCTTTAGTCTCTTGGTGGGAGGGGCTGTGCTGCCAGCTCCCCGAGAACTGCCTGTGTCTGTGCCCCGTCCACCTCGAGCGGACCCTTTCCTGTCCAGGCACAGGGGCCATTGGCCCCCGCCTGGGGCTCTCTGGAATGCTTGTGGTCAGGCCCATGGGGCTGCTGAGGCCCAGGTGTGGGGCTGGGTATAGGGTCTGACCCTGAGGAGGCTCAGACCCCTCCCTGCTGGACAGGGCATGTCTCCCTGCCCCCAGCCACAGGGAGGTAGACGATGACCTCAGAGCCTGGCAGCCGGTGAATAGGCCTGTGCCCCGCCCCCACCCTGGAAGGCTGCGCTTGGCTCCCACAGTCCCCCTCCGAGGAGACTCGGAAGCGATGCCAAGCCCTCCGAGAAGGGTGGGATTTGGACCTGGTGTGCCTGGAGTCCTGGAGCCTTGCCCCCTACCTGGAGTCTGGGCAGCCAGTGCCCTCAAGGGCTGAAGCAATGAGGAGTCTGTGTTGTTTCCAGGGGGGCCTCACAGCAGTCTCAGTCCAGCTCAGTCCGGTGGGGTGACTGTAGGTCTCGTGCAGCTCTGGGGTACCCTACTCTCCCCCTTGAGGCCCTAGGCTCCCAGGCCTACCTGGCCAACAGCACCCAGCTGTTCCCAGGCGCACCTGCTGTGGCGAGAAACCCTCCAGAGGAGCGGGCACCGCCGGGTCAGGGTCCTGAAGAGGTGCAGTGGGTGGCCCTGGGGTGTGGCGTGACCCTCAGAGGCCTGCTTGCCTTTTCAGGGCCCACCTATGAGCAGAGGAGGGACTGGTTCCCACTGCTGCCCACAAACAGTTGGGCTGAGTACTGAGGTCTCCCAAGGTCTCCATCACGGACCCTGTGGGCCTGTCAGGGGAGGTGTGGGCTGAGACAGGCAGGCCACCCCTGTGCTGTGGCTCCGTGAGTTGCCTCTCTCCCCAGCACCTGGGCCTCTTTGTACAGGCGGGGAAGAGGTTCGTATTTCCTCCGCCTCCCTGCCAGGTCCCTGTGGAGCCTCTGCCTGGGATCTGCCTGGGAGAGCCCTTTCCCCTTTGTGTGAGAGGGGCTGAGGAGGGGCTCACCCTCCCTTGGAGCCTCCAGGCTTGTGACAGGGCCTGGAAACACCTTCCCTCCTTTGCCCCCACGTAGGGGGAGCCTAGGGCTCCCCTCAGAGGCTATGGCGGGTGGGAGCACTTGGCCACAGCAGGGGCTGAGCCCTGGCTTGCATGAGTGTGAAGGTGGGTTGCTGCCTGGGCACTGCCCCCTCCTGGGTGCCTCTGGAACCCTCCGGCTCCTGGGTGCAGCCTCTTACCAATGAGGTCATGGGCTGTTTTAGGGACCAGAGACCTTTCCAGAGGGGCCTGTCCTGGGTCCATGGAAGAGCCACCCCCGTGGTGTTTCACTGTTGGGCCAGCGGGTGTGTGCACCCCCAGGTGCAGGCATGGAGGCCCAGGGTTATGTTGGCTAGGAGCAGAGATGAGGCTGGATAGCACTGTCTGCTGGGGGCAGGGGAGGCTCAGGCCTGGAGTCCTGAGGGCAGGGTGGTGGGGGATTGGTAGGGGAGGGAGGGAGGCCCAGGCTGATCAGAGGCCTGAGGGGAGCCTGCAGGCCTGGCCTGTGCGGAGAGACAGGCCTAGGCCTGGGGAGGTGTCCGCAGCTGAGGATTAGGGGAGGGGCTGCAATCAGGGCAGCCTTCTCTGAGGAGGTGTACAAAGCGCCCTGTGAAGACTGAGCCAGGCTCTCCCCCAACCCCGGGGCACAGACACGTGGGCTGTCCCTGGTGGAGGTCGAGCTGACACACGGGGAGAAAGTGGGCAGAGCCAGGGCGGGGCTGGGGCAGGGTCTTGGGGTTTCGGGGGCCTAGGAAGGAGCAGCTTTCCTCTGCCCTGGTCAGGGCTGCCCTGACACTCACAGGGCCACAGCAGAGCTACTGCCCCAGTGCCTGGGCTGGTGGAGTCTCCGAGGCAGGCTCAGCTTCCAGAGGGCCCCCTGCCTGCAAGGCTGAGCCCCGCTTGCTCCCTGCAGCCCAGTCCCCGGGGGCTCAGTGGGCCCCTGGCTGTGGGCTGGTCAGCAGGGGAGTGAGCGGAGCCTGGGGGAGGGGTGCCCGGCGTGAGGTGGGGGCAGGGGCCCCATCCTAGGAGCAGCTGACCTGTCAGGGACTAGGGGGTTAGACCTTTGGACCTGCCTGGTGGCGGGGACCACTGTCTGGTCACTGGGCCTGGCTGGACATGAGGGCTGTGGGGACACTGGGGTATGTTCCTGCATCCACCCTGGCCAGTCCCTGCCTGGGCCGTGGGTAGGCCACTCTCTAACTTGCTCCATCTGCAGCCACAGAGCTTGCAGGACCATGGGGAACCCCAGGCTCCTGCAGCAGGGAAGGGGAGGAGGCAGTGCGTTGGTCCTGAGCACAGGCGGGGTGCCCTTCCAGGAGGGCTGGTTCCCGGGGGTTCATCTCCATCCCTGGGGAGCCCTCTCCCCTGGGTTCGTCTGCCCCATGCAGGCAAACCCAGAGTTGCCCCCTGTGTGGTGAGGGTACCACATCCCCTGCTGTGGCCTCACCTGAGGGGCAGAAAAGGAGCCAGGCCCCTGACAGCGTGGGAATCCAGGTGCTCCTGGCTCCCCTGACGCCCTCTCGGCCCGCAGGTCTTCCACGTGGCCTACGTCCTCATCAAGTTTGCCAACTCACCGCGGCCGGACCTCTGGGTGCTGGAGCGGTCCATGGACTTCGGCCGCACCTACCAGCCCTGGCAGTTCTTTGCCTGTGAGTCTCTGCCGCCACGGGGCCTGGGGGGCGAGGCGGAGGGGGTCCCTGGGCAGGCCCTCCATGACCAGGCTTCTGAAGGTCTCCGAACACCCAGCCCTGCCCTCACACCCAGCTGCTGTGGTCACGACTGTCAGACAAGGACTTGAAGGCCCATGGGGATTTATTGGCTTCTGTCCTTGGTGTCGGGCACAGCTGGGTCCAAGGGCTATGGCGCCAGGAATCTCTGGTGCCATCTCTTGGCTGCCTCTGGATGACTTCATGTGCTGGCTGCTCCCCGTGGTGACAGAAGGGCCCTGACAGCTCCCACCTCACTTCCTGCCAGCTCAGCCACCTGTGTCAGGAGTACTGGTGTCCGAGCACCCGTACGCTGGCCATCCTTGGCCCCATGCCACCCTGACCAGTCATGCTGGTGGGAATGAGTGCTGGCAGGCCTGGTCACGTGTCACCAAAAGTTTCCTGGCCTGAGGATGGGGGAGGGGCAGGTCAGTGATGGGCAGTAGGCGTCTGTCCCCGAGGAAGGGAGTGAGGATAGTCACTGGGGGAGTCACTCGCTCTCAAAGCATGCCAGGCAGAGCGGTGGAGGGCAGTGCAGTCCAACGGGTCAGGCCCCTTCAGCCAGCGAGCTGTGGTCTCTGTCACACGGCCTCTTGGCCTGTGGGAGCCTCGGTGGCGAGGCCCAGAGACATCAAGGGCCCCGGGGCACTGCGGGGCCCAGGATTTCCTGGTGATCCAGCGCCCTCCCCTCCCACCATTCCCCGCAGCCTCCAAGAGGGACTGTCTGGAGCGGTTTGGGCCACAGACTCTGGAACGCATCACACGGGACGACGCGGCCATCTGCACCACCGAGTACTCGCGCATCGTGCCCCTGGAGAATGGAGAGGTGGGCCGGGGAAGGGCAGCGCGGTGTGGGGCTGGAGAAGGGAGAGGTGGGCCGAGGTGGGTAGTACCGAGTGGAGCTGGAGAAGGGAGAGGTGGGCCCAGGAGGGGCAGCGCCGTGCAGGGGTTGGGGGCTGGGGCCACACTGGCCTCACCGCGTACCGCCCACAGATCGTGGTGTCCCTGGTGAATGGGCGCCCAGGCGCCATGAATTTCTCCTACTCGCCGCTGCTGCGTGAGTTCACCAAGGCCACTAACATCCGCCTGCGCTTCCTGCGCACCAACACGCTGCTGGGCCACCTCATGGGGAAGGCGCTGCGAGACCCCACGGTCACCCGCCGGGTGAGCTGCCCGTGGCCCAGACAGGGGAGGGGGACTGGCTGGGTGGACCCGGGCCTTGGGGTGGGTGAGGCCTGGCTGCCTGGCGCTCACAGGGCCTGCGGGTGCAGTATTATTACAGCATCAAGGACATCAGCATCGGAGGCCGCTGTGTCTGCCACGGCCACGCGGATGCCTGTGATGCCAAAGACCCCACAGACCCGTTCAGGTGAGGCCCCGTTCAGGGGAGGCCCCGTTCAGGGGAGGCCCCGTTCAGGTGCAGTTCTCAGCTCCCTGCCTGTCCTTGTCACCCCTGCCTAACCTGAGGGTGGGTGACCTGGTTCCATGGCCCACCACGACCTTGTTCTCTGTGTGACCTGAACTGACCACCATTGCGCGGGCCTCAGTTTCTCATCTGTGCGGCGATGTGGAGGCCAGGGCGTGTGCAGCCTCCCCAAGGTGCCCCATCTTGGTTTGGGGGAGCCTTGCCCTGCTGCTGGCAGAGGCAGGGCTCTCCGGACCCCCAGGCCAGCTGGCCTTCCCACAATGGCGGACCCCCGGGGCCCTGTGAGGAGAGTCAGTGATGAGGATGGTTGATTCCCGAGTCCACGTCTGCGTGCTCTGGAATGGACAGGTGCCCACTACCTGCCGAGGCAGCCCTCATTCACTTTAGGGGTGCCCACTCAGCTCCCCCAACCTTTCAGGACACAACAGACAACTTCCCTGCTGCCCCCAGCCCTCACCTTCACTCCAACCAAGCAGGGACCAAGGCCCAGGATGGGGATGGCGGGGTGGGGGTAGCCAAAACCCCACGTCTGCTATGCCCTGTGTGCCTGCTTTCGGGGGCAGCCAAGGGCACTACAGAGCGTCTACCTCCCGGGAGCCCCGCACAGAACGGGCAGCGGCCCTGGTGCTGGCACCTGCACATTCCTGGGCCCCACCCAGAATCCTCAGTAAGGTAGGGCTGGGCTCATTCTGCGGAGAAGCAGCCCCGGGGCACATCTGTCCTTTCCTCCCTCCCTCTGTTCCGTCAGCCAGCAGCTGTGTGTTGAGCGCCTAACACATGCTGGCCCTTTTCCTGGGAATGGGAACAGAGGGTGAGACCCCAGTCCAGCCACAGGAGCACCTGTTCTGGGGGAGGCAGCTGGGAAGCACGCAAACCAGTACTCAACCTGGAGGGTGTAACACCCGAGGGTGGCAGTGCAGGCATGGGGCTGGACAGAAGCCACTCAGAGTGGTGCAGCCGAGGCTGAGCGTGTGACGAGGCTCCTGGACCCCCAGCAGAGAGCCGCCAGGGGTCATCTAGTTCCTGAAACCGTGCAGCCCAGCTTCATGCGCTTGGATTTAGGACATGCCCCCTGCTTTCTGCTGGGGTCTTACGGCTCTGTCCAAGCTCCAGTTTACAGGGGAGGTGGGGAGGCGGGTGGAGCTCAGATAGGACAGGTTCACTCCCATTCCCATGGCCGGTGCCGAGCAGAGGCGGGAGCCCTGGCCCCTTCGGATGTGGCTGAGGGGAGGAGTGGCACGGTCTCCTGAGCTGGAGGACGTGGGCTGTTTTCCAGGAGCTGTGGGCCCTGGGGACCCACCCTGGGCACCTGTTGCTGCCAGCACGGCTTCAGGCTGCTGAGCTCCAGCAGAGCTAAGTTGTCCTGGGAAATTAAGTGCCAAGTGGGGACACAGCTTGTGACAGCTGGGAATGGAACCCACCAGGCAGCCAAATGGGCCTCTGAGGAGAGGAAGGTTGCAGGAGCCAGGGCTTGCCTTGGCCTGCAGGGAAGACATTGCCATCCCTTGACTCACCACACCTGGGTGTGGACTGAGCTCAGCTCTCCCTGCAGGTGCAAACAGGGGTAACTGGGCATCTTTCCTGGAACCACAGACTCTGTTACCATCACCTGGTCACACACCAGTGTCCCAAAACATCAGCCTGCCCGTGTTCTCCCTGCACCCTTTACCCACCACCCCACCTCTCCTCCAGGGAAGGGGACTCCGTGTCTTCAGCCAGCTCCTCTCTGTCTCTTCACCTCCACCATCACCTTACTCCCACCCCAACCCCAACATCGTCACCCCACCATCACCATCATCAACATTATCACCCCCACCATCACCATCATCATCCCACCATCATCACCCCACCATCACCATCATTGCCACCACCATCACCGTCATCCCCCCACCATCACCACCATCACTGTCATCATCCCCACCATCACCACCACCATTGTCATCCCCCCTACCATCACCACCACCATCGTCATCCCCCCCACCATCACCGTCATCCCCCCATCATCACCATCATCACCCCCCCATCACCATCATCGCCCCCACCATCACTGTCATCCCCCCACCATCACCACCACCATTGTCATCCCCACCACCATCACCACCACCATCGTCATCCCCCCCACCATCACCGTCATCCCCCCATCATCACCATCATCCCCCCACCATCATCACCCCACTTATCATCCGCCATCAATGCCCACCATCAATAATCGCACCCACCATCACCATCGTCCCCCACCGTCGCCGTCGTTCCACCGTCACGATCATCCCCACCATCACCATCGTCCACCCCACCATCGCCCCACCATCATCACACCATCGTCCCCACCATCACCACAATCAATCACTTACACCGTCACGCGATCAATCCCCCACCATCTGCCATCATCACCCCACCGTCACCATCATCCCCACCATCACCATCGTCCCCCACCATCTAACCGTCATCCTTACCGTATCCACTTGCCATCAAATCGCCCCACACCGTCACCGTCATCTTTCTCTGCGCAAAAGTAAGCTGCTTTACCGTCAAGTCAATCTCACCCCCACCATCACTTACACCATCGTCACCCCACATAATCGCAGTCGTCCCCACCCGTCGCGGTCGTCCCCCACCGTCACGAGTCATCCCCCCACCATCGCCGGTCATCCCCATAATCACCGTCGTCACCCACCATCACCACCATCATCACTGCGCACGCTACCACCATCCATCACACCATCGCCTGTTCATCCCCCCACCATCACCGTCGTCCACCATCTGCGTCATCACCCCACCATCATCCGTCGTCACCCCACCATCACCACCATCATTAACTTACGCATCTTGCGTCGTCCCCCCACGCCGTGCATTCATCTTACCAAGTAAATAAAATTCAATCACCCCACCATCCTGCCATCATCTGCCCCATCATCACCCCCACCATCTAATCGTCAAATCTTTACCATCCGATCGTCCCCCCACCATCACCATCATCACCCCCACCGCTCGTCACCATCATCACCCCACCATCTTCACCCCACCATCACCATCATACAGCCACACCATCACCTGCCATCGGCCACCACCATCGCCACCACCATCGTCGTCCCCCACCATCACCATCATTGCCACTTTCATCACCACTACATCACCGATCATCCCCACCATCACCACCGCCATGAGTCATCCCCACCATCACCGTCGTCCCCCCATTGATAAGTCATCACCCCACCGTCCCCATCATGCCCCACCGTCACACATGATCACCCCATCATCTGATCGTCCCCCCACCAATGCGTCGTCCTGCATCACCAAAGTCGTCCCCACCGTCGCAATCGTTCCCCATCATCCTGATCATCTTCATCATCACGATCCACCCCACCATCACCGTCGTCCCCACGATCGCGCATTGTCCCCATCAATCGCGATCAATCCACCCCATCCGTCAAGTCATCACCCCACCATCATAATCGTCCATAAATAACGTCTCATCACCCGTCGTGATGCGTTCGATCACACCTCATCTACATCATCCCCCATCATCACTGTGCGTCGTCACATAATCACTTTGTCATTCACACCATCACCATCATCCGCCCCACCATCATCGCAATCGTCCCCCACACCATCAAAATTATTTTACCATTCACCCTTCATTCTTTACCATCACCATCCTTAAGCCCCCACCATCACCACCATCACGAGTGTTCCTCACCATCACGTCATCTTTACCAGCTAATCTACACCCATCACGATCACGTCACCCCACCATCATCCCCCACCGTCACGTCAATCCCCCCACCATCACCATCATCCACCCACCGTGCAAAACAATCTCCCCCACCATCACCATCATCACCATCGTCCCCCTGCTACCCAATGTTCACACCATCACCATCATCAAATAAATACCCACCATTGTCCGCGGTCTTCACCACGCATTATGCCATCGTCCCCACCATCGCGTCATTCCCCACCACTCTGTCTCATCACTTGCACCAAAAATCTATCGCCGTCATCTCCACCAGTAAAATTCATTACACATCACATCATCTTGCTGATCCACCATCACCGATCATCCCCCACCATCACCATCATCCCCCCACCATCTGTCTTCAGCCCCACGCTACGCATTATCATCCCCAGGTTTGTATTTCATCATTTATCAAGTGCCATGTAGAGTTTTTCATTCATGACAGCCTATCCGAAATTGTCTGAAAATGGCTGTTTTGTCCTCCCTCTTGAATGATAGTTGAGCTGATTGTAGGAGGTCGTGATTTGACAACTGTATTCTCTCCAGCACTTTGGAAGAGAGTAATGATTTGACTGTCTCTTCACCTCTCCAGGTGCTTTGGAAAATTCAGAACGCCACTGCCCACCATCATCCCCCCACCATCACCATCATCGCCCCCACCATCACCATTATCATCCCCTGGGTTGCTGCTTCCTCCTTCCTAAAATGCACCCTGTAATTTTTTTATTCCATGACAGCCTATCCGAAATTGTCTGAAAATGGCTGTTTTGTCCTCCCTCTTGAATGATAGTTGAGCTGATTGTAGAATTCGTGGTTGACAACTGTGTCTCTCAGCACTTTGGAGAAATGATTTGACTGTCTCTTCACCTCTCCAGGTGCTTGGGAGAGTCCGTTGTCCCTGCTGTTGCTAATCTTCTGTGGGTCGTCTTCCTCTCCAGGATTTTTTTATGGTCTTTTTGCCATTGGCGTTCTGCAGATTTGTTGTGTTGTGTCGAGGATTCGGATTTTTTCTTGCTCAGGACTCACTTTTTTTTTTTTTTTTTTTTTTGAGATGGAGTCTTACTCTGTCTCCCAGGCTGGAGTACAGTGGCCCGATCTTGGCTCACTGCAAGCTCCGCCTCCCGGGTTCACGCCATTCTCCTGCCTCAGCCTCCCGAGTAGCTGGGACTGCAGGCGCCCGCCTCCACACCCGGCTAATATTTTGTATTTTTAGTAGAGACAGGGTTTCACCGTGTTAGCCAGGATGGTCTCGATCTCCTGACCTCGTGATCCGCCCACCTCAGCCTCCCAAAGTGCTGAGATTACAGGTATAAGCCACCACGCCTGGCCATTTTTTTTGTATTTTTAGTAGAGGCAGGGGTTACACCATGTTAGCCAAGATGGTCCTGATCTCCTGACCTCGTGATCCACCTGCCTCGGCCTCCCAAAGTGCTGGGATTACAGGCATGAGCCACTGTGCCTGGCCATGTGTTCATTATTAATTCAAGACCATCCTTGGTCATTCTTTCTCTCTGACTGTTGGCTCCCTTTCCTACCTCTTCTTCCCTGAAGTCCCAGTTAGATACAGGAACACCTTCTGGTTTCCTTCTCATAATTTCTATTTCCTCTCTCTTTATTTTCTGAGTTATCTTCTGGATGGCTTCTTTAGCTCCTTTTCCACTTCACTAAATTTCTCTTCCACTGTGTCTGTTCTGCTGTTTAGCCCATCCATTGAGTCTTTAATTTTATAGTTTCATTTTTCATATCTAGAAGTTCTGATTGGTTCTTTTTCATATCTGCCTGTTTTCCATAGTGTTATTTTTTTTATTATGTTTTGTATATCTTTTTTATTTTATTTTTTGAGACAGAATATCACACTGTCTCCCAGGCTGGAGTGCAGTGGCACGATCTTGGCTCACTGCAAGCTCCTTCTCCCGGGTTCACGCCATTCTCCTGCCTCAGCCTCCCGAGTAGCTGGGACTACAGGTGCCCACCACCACGCCCGGCTAGTTTTTTTTTTTTTTTTTTTTTTTTTAGTAGAGACAGGGTTTCACTTTGTTAGCCAGATGGTCTTGATCTGCTGACCTTGTAATCTGCCTGCCTCGGCCTCCCAAAGTGCTGGGATTACAGGCGTGAGCCACCGCACCCGGCCTATGTTTTAGATTTCTTTATGACCATTTTTAACATTTTTCTCTGGCTTCTACTAGATTACTCTGTTTTGTGAGGTTCTCAGGGCTCTTTTTGCTGACCTGCCACATTGTTTCTCTGCAAGATCTTTAGCAGGGTTTATCTCTGTGCTTCTGGTGTGCCCTGGGATTGGGCCTTGCACAGCTCCTGCAACTGTGAGACCCTGTCCTCCACCGCCTCTTTCCCTGTGTGCATTACCCCAGCCTGGGAGAGCTGCGCCAGAGCCACTGGCTGGGGGATGCTGAGTCTGGGCCAGCGCTTGCTGCCTGACAGCTGGAGAAACAGAGCAGCGGGGGACCGTGTCCCTTCGGCAAGCCAAGCCGTTGAGGGGATCCCAGGCCCCTTTGGGGAAGGGACTAAGCACCTGCCACCTGCCTCCAGGATGGGCCTGAGCCCCCCTCCTGTGTACCCCACAGGCTGCAGTGCACCTGCCAGCACAACACCTGCGGGAGCACCTGTGACCGCTGCTGCCCCAGCTTCAACCAGCAGCCGTGGAAGCCTGCGACTGCCAGCAGTGCCAATGAGTGCCAGTGTGAGTACCTCCTCCTACACCTGCGTGTCCTGCCCACACCCTGACCCATGAGAGTGCCCCGGTGCCTGGGCCTGTGGAGGGCATGCTGACAGCTGGTCTCCCTTTCTCTAGCCTGCAACTGCCACGGCCACGCCACCGACTGTTACTACGACCCTGAGGTGGACCGGCGCCATGCCAGCCAGAGCCTGGATGGCACCTATCAGGGCGGGGGTGTCTGTATCGACTGCCAGGTGGGCTGGGCTAGAGGGCTGGGGATGAGCTGGCCCTGAGGCGAGGCAGGGACCTCCCTGGACTCAATGGCCCTTGCACCCCCAGCACCACACCACCGGCGTCAACTGTGAGCGCTGCCTACCAGGCTTCTACCGCTCTCCTGACCACCCGCTTGACTCGCCCCACGTCTGCCGCCGTGAGTGGGCTCAGCTGGGCGAGTGTCCTGGGTCTCAGGGTCTGCCCGGAAAGAGGCATTCTTGGGCCTTTGGGGCTGCTTTGGAGGGGATGTCCTGAGCTTCCAGGCCAGCCCAGGAAGGAGCCTCCCAGGCCACGGGGCGGGTCCCCAGCCCTCATGTTCCCCCAGGGGGCCTGGCTGTAGCCCTCGTCCCCACAGCCCTGGCAGGGAGGTAGAGACTGCCCCATCTTGGAGCCCACCCCTTGGGTCCTGGTAGCTCCAGGCTTACCCGGCTCCTGCCCCTGCCCAGGCTGCAACTGCGAGTCCAACTTCACGGATGGCACCTGCGAGGACCTGACGGGTCGCTGCTACTGCCAGCCCAACTTCTCTGGGGAGCGGTGCGACGTGTGTGCCGAGGGCTTCACGGGCTTCCCAAGTTGCTACCGTGAGCACCTGCCAGGGGTGTCCGAACAGACACCGCTGCCTGCTGGACTCCAGGAGCCCTGCGAGGGGTGGGGGGATTCCCTGGGATGGACCCTGTTGTCCTGCCTGCATCTCCGATTGTGCTGAGAAACCAAGGGTGGCAGGGGGTGTGGGGTGCTGGGGTTCTAAGCAGACCTGGCCAACATGCGTGTCTCTTCCCCTCAGCGACGCCCTCGTCCTCCAATGACACCAGGGAGCAGGTGCTGCCAGCCGGCCAGATTGTGAGTAAGTGTCCTTGAGGCCCCCAGGTCCCTGACCTGCCCTGGAGCCATGGGGCAGCCTCACAGGAAGTTCCTGGAGAAAAGGAGAATTTTCATTTGGTCACTTTATTTTTGGTTTATTTCTTCTTATGCAAATTATGCATATTCACACTGGAAAACTTTCAGAAATATAGGTAGGCATAAAGCCAAAGAAAAAAGTTAGCCTGGGCAACATGGTGAAACCCTGTCTCTACAGAAAATACAAAAATTAGCTGGGCGTGCTGGTGTGTGTCTGTAGTTTGAGCTCCTCTGGAGACTGAGGTGGGAGGATTGCTTGAGCCTGGAAGGCTGAGGCTGCAGTGAGCCATGATCACACCACAGCACTCCAGCCTGGGCAACAGAGTGAGACCTTGTCTAAAAAAAGAAAATTGGTGGCCGGGCGCGGTGGCTCACACCTGTAATCCCAGCACTTTGGGAGGCCAAGGCAGGTGGATCATCTGAGGTCAGGAGTTCAAGGCCAGCCTGGCCAACATGGTGAAACCCTGTCTCTACTAGCTGGGCATGGTGGCGGGCACCTGTAATCCCAGCTACTTGGGAGGCTGAGGCAGGAAAATTGCTTGAACCCAGGAGGCAGAGGTTGCAGTGAGCCAAGATCGCACCACTGCGCCCCAGCCTGGGCAACAGAGCAAAACTCCATCTCAAAAAAAAAAAAAAAGTTATCCACAATTCCACTACCTCTACACAGCGCCTGAATACTCTCTGTACACAGCACTTCTCTTTCACAAGCACTTCTCTTTCACAAGCACTTCTCTTT